TGTTGTCATACAACACACTCCTGTCAATACCAAGCATAATTTCCTTTTGTTAATCAAAATTCATAGAAAGACTCTGACATGATTTACTGTAAGCCAATGTGATGCAGTTTGCTGTTCTATCACTGCTATGCCGAAAGCAACGCGGAGCTCTGACAACTGCAATCTTCAGAGGGGAATGAGGAAAGGAGGAGGGAGGGAATGAAGGGAGCGAAGGAAACAGTGAGTGGAAATAAAGTCAACAGCAGCTGATTCAGAGAAGCGGTGACAGTGAATCTGTTTACACTCCGTGTTGAGTCTTTTGCTCACCTTGACAGCACTGTAAATAGTAATCAAGACCCAGGCATATCAAATTATAGACCCTGAGTGGAAGGAAGATGGGGTTGAGGTGGCATGTGATGAAGTGACATATGCGAGCAACAATTTATTCACAACATTTATTCTCATTGCAGGGATTTCATACCTGAGTGCCTGCTTTATTACAGAGATGTACACAGCAGAGCACAGGTCTTCGCCAGCAACTACCCACCCAACCACTGGGAACAGGTGGCACACTAAATCTCAGTTGATGCCTCTGACCCTCTGTTCCACGGCACAGGCACAAAGATATATGTGCAGTATACCGCTTTAAACATCACTACACTTGAAATAAAATCATTACCTAGAAAATCGTTATGATTCATGTTTAAATCTTTAAAAATGAAAGAAGATGCCTCAAAAGGATCCCTGGATTATGTTCTGCTTTTTAATACAATATGAAATGGAATGAAAACCCATCTGATCAGAGTCTGGTGCCAGATCGATGAGGCCTCGGGGAAAGCCTGGCCTCAGTCCAAACCACAGTGCTTCAAACTACACAGAAACCTCCCCCTTGATTTCTTGCTAGATGAAGGTTTTCTGAGGAGTGAGGGGGAAATTGGACTTCTTGACTTGAGAACACCCTAAAAATTGCATTTATGTTACCTGAGTGATGAAAAGGCCCAACGGCATCCGAGAGGGGTTTTATCATCTGAGACGTTGCCTGTGCACAGAATGGAATTCGGCACTGGACATCTTCCCCTGAAATGTCTATCTGAGAGCAAGGTTCCTCTCTATTAAACCAACTTTGATTTATTCAGGAGAACTGGAAAATGAAATGAGCCAACTTGCAGCTATTTTCTTCCATTCTTTTGCATGTCTCATCTTTTTCGCAGTATCTCACTGGCTCTGAAGGTCAGATTTTCAGGCCCTGTTCCTCAAGTTAATGCAGTCATTTGTCTGTGTGTATTCTCAAGCCTGAAATTAGTCGGATACTTGTATCAATTTAAAGATGTAAAATATAGGTAGACGAGAAAATAAATGACCACTCTGTTTCAGTTAGTGTGGTAATTATGATGCAGCAGTATGAGCTTTTTCTCTCCAGCTGAATGTTACAACTCAATGCCTGTAATTTTTGTGCAGTCATGACTAGAGTAACTAGAGCTTGAAAGATGAGGATCCTGCTTCTCTGGTCCTGTTATGGTTGTTGTGCAGATCATAGACAGTATAAAGGGTGGACATAGCTGGTTTCTGAAATCTTGTTTTTGAAGCCTTTGATGGGATGTGTGGAACTGTAAAACCAATGACTTTACCATGTTTAATCATTCAGTTTGAAACATTGGATATATGGATTGATTCATGTTAGTACAGTACTACATAGCTGTGCGCTGTGTTAATTTCACAGGACAGTATTGTCTTGTATAGAAAATGGAAAATTCTGAACTTATTCAAAATAATGTCTGCGTATTTTGACATGAATGACATGTTACACTGACACATTGTTAGGGAGGGGGACAGAACAAAAGAGACAGTATGAAAAAGAGCTGGAATTAATATTAACTAATGATTAACTGCAGATTGGCGTATAAACACATTACGAGTACAAAAAAAAGTGAGTGACTTAGGAACAACAGAAAGTCTACGACATTCAGTAACTTCAAGAGAGCCGGGTCCAGAGTAAAACCAGAGTTAAACTATTCTCAACTGACTACAGCAAGTACCAGTGAAATCGCATAATAACATAATTACTGACATACAACCAGGTTGTAAATACATTAGGGAATTAACTAACAAACTGGGGCCTGTAATTGTTAAATAACCCAAATACAGCACATGGAAACAGTAGTAACAAGTTGTAAACAAATATGCAAATCTT